CGGCGAAGCGAGCCGGGATGTAGGAGCGAAGGAGCCGAGAGAGCCGCTCGCCAGCAGCCCCCAGCTCCGGGCTCCGCCTCCCGATCGGCCCTGGACCGCCCCCCCCACGCACCGCCTCCCGGGCCCCGCCACCGGGTCCCTTCTCTGGCTCCCTGCACAGACCTGGACGTTCTCGAGGCTCCGCCCTGCCTCATGCGAATCCCAGACGCCCCCCACCTCTTTCCCAGGATCCCCCACCGCCACCCCTAAACGTTCTTCAGCTATGTCGCCCTACCCTAAACGTCTAAGACTTGGGGAACCTTCGTGCCTCCCCCTGCCTAAAGGCGCCTTCACTTCTTCAGGCTCGCCACCCCCCACCCCTGGCTCAGCCCAGAGACTGCACCTGGGGGGCAAGCCTTAGCCTGGCCTGGCAGGAAGCCTCACCTTCTGGGTGGTAGGGGGCTCCAAGGAAGGCCAAGACTTAACTTGTTTCCCCTCAGGCCCAAGAACAAGTCCTGTCTTCCATCCATTCTCTACCCTGTTTTGGAATCCCTGAAATAAGGCCTGTGCACCAGTCTCCTCCCCAACCCCTTGGCCACAAAGCATGAATTCCTTCCATTGCTGTCCATACCCTACTTTTCCCCTCCATCCAGGCTTCCTTGGTTGCACCTACTGCTAAGGGACAGAGGGGTGCCCAACTCCACCCTCTACCCAGACAACCACACAATCCAACCTGGCTATTCTGAGCCCACCGTGCTGCTGTTTAGTCTGAATCCCTGCTCCCAGTTCAGTTGCCCTACTTGGCTGCTCTGCTCTCAGTGTGAAATTCCTCAAAAGGGTGAAAGGCAGAGCCCACTAGTCTGCCTGTAACTCTTTTCTGTACCCTCATGTCTTGTGCCCCCTGCCCCATGCCCAGAGGAGGAGTCTCCTCACCCATCCTGCACTCCCAGACGTTCTTTCCCCTAGATTCAGGCAGAGCCCCAAATCTCTGGTCCTCAGAAGGCCCTACCTTGACCTCTGGTCTTGGACTCATTCTCTCTTTGATCTATGTTCCTCAGAGCCCCCAGGAAAGGGTCACCTCTTGAGGCATCATCCCATGCTTGCTGTCCCGCCTGCCCAGGGCCCTGCTTTTCTTCCTGTTTCCTCTCCCTGTTATCGCTTTCATCTCTCCACGCATTTCCTTCTTCCTCATCTTGACTTTAATCTTATCAATGTTCCTTCCCCATAATTTGTGAGCCATTTCCCATCTCCTGGGCTGGCTTGACGATGAGCCTTCTGTGCGGTGGCTCTGCATTAGTGGCTCTCTTCTGGGCCCTTCTGCCTGGTGTCTCCTTTCCCCTTTCTATCTTTAACCCTTTCCTTGAACCACCTTCCACCCATCCACACCCCACACACTGTCATTACTCTTTACGTGCTTTGGCTAAAGCGGGGGAAGGGAGGAGGGGGAGAAGACTAAAGAGAAGCCAAAAGGCAAGCCCTGGTTTTGACCTTGAGCTCTTTTTGTTTATGAAACATTCCCCCCCAAAACTAGACATGCATGTGTTATCTTTAATACACGACCACAATCCAGGGAGGCTCTTATCCCGACTCCCATTTGCCAGATGAAAACACTGAAATCATGAGGTCAGGGAGATCAAAGGACTTTCCAAGGTCACACAGCGAATGAGTGGCCGCGCTGAGATTTGAACTCCAAGCTCTGAAGCCTTGGCCGTTTCCATTAAATTACACTGTCCTTGGTGACCTTGGCAAACTCTACCTGCAAAGATGCCTTGACCAGCGCATCTGCACTAGAGAAACTGGGTTTGTTTCTGTGGTGAGATTTGCACAGTTAAACTCCTGGGTCCGTTTCCTCTGTTTACTAATCTGTGAACTCAAGGGTGTGAGGTGAGGGGGAAGCTGGGCTTTCAAGCCTTCTGATGCTAAACCATCTCCTGCCTCTCTGATGCCTGCTCCACACATAGACTCCTGGGAAATCTGTCACCCTGCCTCCCTTAGTCTCTCCTTTGTACCCTTACAATCCGCCACTATCCTCTGCATTGGGGCTTTCTGATTTTCTATGCCCCTTTCTTCAAATATGCTGACATAGTCCATTTATAGAAGTGCATGCCAGGAAAAAAGGGTTCCCTTATGTCAAGGCAGAGTCTGTGCAAGTCCTTCATGGACCTCTGGTACAAAGGCTTGTCAAATGAGACCAACACTTTCATTCATTCATTCACCCCCGAATATCTGGGCTCCTACCGGGAACTATATGGGGAGGCCTAGATGGATAAACACGGCTCCTGGCCTCAGAAAGTTTATACTGATGTGAGTGAGGTGAGATGTGCACAAAAATATCTCAGGCACCAAGCAGGCAGGCAGACATGTTTCCTAGATGTCGTTTTTTGAGACTGGTGCTTGGAGCAATCAAAGAAAGCTTCACTGAGGAGGTGGTATTGGAGTTGAGCCATAGCAGCCTAGTAGCATGGGGGTGGATACTGCAGGTTCTAGAAGGCGTTTGGCATTCTTTGCAAAATCAGCAGCGCAATCCCTTTTCTGCCTCAGAGAATGCGCTACCTCCCCCCAAGAGCAGGTTAAACTTCAAAGATACTTTCTCTGGCTCTAGCACCACTAACACATGGGCACATAGCTCAGATTTCACCAGTCGGATTCCCTCACTCCAGGTGCAAGGAAAGAAACTTGAATGAGGAAGAATTCATTTGGGGACCAATGTGGCAATGGCTGGGGTCACTGCATTCATGTTTCATGAATAGCAGAAATGGCACATGTATCAGAGCCCAAAGCCCAGCATCATTGGTGTCAACGTGTGAATTGTCCTGTTAAGGTATACCCGGCTGCAGCTGCAGGAACATTTGCACCAGCCCAGGTCTGAGCTGTGGTTTGAAGTGATGCTCTTGACGTCATGGACTGGAATCCTAGATCCTGTGCCCTCCTGGAGAGGCTCAGCCATCTGGTATCCTCTTAATGAATTAGGCTTCTGCTGAAATTATCCCGAGTTGGATCTTTCTGTTGCTTGCAACTAAGACTCCTACCTGCAGGCACAAGTGGAGAGTGTAGACTGTGGAAACAAATGGAGGTCAGGGAGGGCAAAGCTTATAGAGGAACTTCAGTGAGGGGGAGAGGGAGTGATTGAAGACAAGGCTGAAAAGGGCAGCAAGGAATTTGATGTTCATTTTGAGAAGTTTCAACTCTATCTAGAAGGCATTGTCAAATCTGGAATAAGCACAGAAAAATAACTCCTATTTCTGAACACATGCTCTGTGGCTTGCAAACTTTATGCGGTGTTGCAGGAAATGGCAAAACAACTCGTGCCTTCCCGTACTCGTGAAGTCTCAGAAATAACTGTGCAATGCATAGTAGGTGCTCAACAAATGGCAACCGCTGTTTTAGTACGTAACCTCTGCAACATCTGGAATAAGACTTGCCATCCGCATTTGATAGATGTGGAATCCGAGGCTCAGGGAAGTTGAGAGACTTCACTTTGTGTACTTACCAATGGTGCAACATGTACCTGGCTGGCTGGCAAATCCCTCCTCCATCTGACCCAATGCTCCACCTCCCTACCCTGCCCCCTCTCATCCTCTGTTGGGTGGCTAGCTTCATCGGCTCATCCTCCCTCTCCTCTTCACTCATTCTCTCTCTTAGTTACATGCCATGATTGATTTCATTTCATCTTCGCTAGGGACCCCTTAGAGACTTAGACCCTTAGCTCCAACTCAACTGATCTGAAATCCCTTGTCATTCTTTCTAGTTTTTTTCCAGCCCTCCCAACAAAGGCTTCTTCTTGCTTCACCTTTTAGCTTTGTCTATCTCAGTGGTTTTGTAACATATTTTTTTTCTTTCTGTTATTTCCCCACTCCTTCATAGTCTGCTCTGTTTTACAAAATCCCTCCTGTTCACATTCCCTGGCTGAGGGAGCTTGGAGTTGTTCGAAAAGCAGGGGCCGGGGAGGCAGCCAGGTATTGCTTTAGATATCAGCTTTGCTATTTACCTACTAGGACAAATCAATTAACAGTATTCTCATGAGACGTTTATGTTCATCGTTTGTAACGTGGGGAAAGTGGGACCCACGTTTCAGGATCCTGATGGGGATTAAATGAGAGCATGCATGTAACAGTATCCAGCACATAGTAGCTTCTTGTGTGTGTGTGTGTGTTGCACATTTTCAGATGTATGACCTCACCATTGTTGTTGTTGTTGTTGTTAGGTACCATCGAGTCGGTTCCATAGCTACCATACGTAGAATAGAACCAAACACCACGCAGTCCTGCACCATCCTCATAATTATTCTTACACTCGGGTCCATTTTGGCAGGCACTGGGCCAATCCATCTCATTAAGGACATGCTTCTATTTTGTTGCCCTCCCCCCTTCTTTACTAAGCATGAGCACTATGCTAATTTGATCCCTGTGAGAGTCTCTACCTTCGTGTCACTGGGTTCCCAGCATTCCACCTCCACTCT